AACTTGTTACCGATAACATTTCTCCCTAGAAGAGTTCTAATCGTCAAAGTTTCGCTATGACACTTTCTCCTTATAGAAAACTTGCTGTCGATAACTTTCCTTTACACAAAAAACTATTATCAACAAATTTTCTGTGTAAAAACGATTGTTATCGACATTTTTACTTATAGCAATCTTGTTATCGACATAAAAGAGTTGTTTGTTATTAATTTTTTGGTTATCGATAACTTTTCTTTGAAGGAAATTTGTAACTGTTTAAGGATTTTTTTCTCAATATTTTTCTCGATTTTATTTATAATTAACTAAAATTGGTACCGGGCCCTTTATGGAGGGCACACATAGTATGGCAGGGGAAGGATTCGTACTAGGCGGAGTGGCAGCCACTTTCTGCAATGATTTCATCAAGGATTCTTTCTGTTGCACAGCACCCTCAAGAGGTTCCTTGAGCATAAACTGGCCAATAAATTTCAATTCTTCAATCGACAACAAATGCATGTTCTTCAATTGCAACAACGTCTCGTCCATCTGTTCCGGTCTCAAGATTAGCAGATCTTGAAGAAACTTTTTCAAATCCAAAGTGCGAATGATGTTTGGTATGCCAGCGGTCATAAGAGCTTTAAGGGCCTGTTTGGTCCTGCGCACATCTAGCAGGACATGTTCCTCCTTGGGTTTGAGTGGCACAATTTTAGCCATTGGAAAGCAGGGCTGTATATCCATTAGTATTTCCAATTGACTGAGAAGATTTTGAAGTTTAGTTCGGCATATGTGTTTGGATTTCTTTCGGAGATGGACACACAAGTCCCGAAAGCAGGTGGAGGGGATGATGTTTTTGTTGTAAAGCACTTTTAAATAATCCAATCGCATTTCTTTCGACATCTCTCTTAGCATTTCCACTAATGTCAAGAGATAGGTGTATTGGTCGGATGTTAGATCCTCCTCGGTATCCATAAGGATCTTCAAATAGTTCAGTTCATAGGGATCCATTTCACCTCCGGCCATTTTCATCAGCAGTCTTTTGGGATGAAAGTAACAGGTGTTACAAGGCGTTGCTGTCCGTCCCTCGATCCTTTGACATACGAGGAGGAAATTTCTCAATTTTATTGCCTCGACGCCTGCATTGGGAAGCTTGGCTATAAATTGCAGATAATTTAATATCTCCTTGTTCAGCATTCCCCGATCCTGCAGGACTTCCATATGCCTTTCCTGCTTTTCGATATCCAGCGTCAAAATATTCAAAATGAAGCTGAGCAAATAGAACATATCTTCTTTTTGCAGACCTCCCACCAGAGGCATTTTATCCAGTCGCTGTCTTATAATTTCGACCGGAAAGGGTTCCCTTTTCAACAGCGTGGGATCCACATTCGTACCAAAGATTTCCATTCCATACAAATAATTGGCTGTCGATTGTTCCTGGGATTTAAGGAACTCGGACCAGTAATTGTCCAAACCATTGGGCGTATCCTTTTTCTCTTTTCTGCATTGCTTATAACGGCACAAATCAAGCGAACACAAAGGAATATTATTGGAAATCTTATGAGAGGCTTGGATGATTTGTTGCACGGGATTAGAAAACATATTGAGTTAAGAAATTTTAAAATATTTTTGAGAAGAAAAAAAAAAAAAAAACAGTCAATTTGGATTAAAGGCCGAAAGAAAAATAAGTTTTTATAAAGTTTTAAAAACAGACGAAACTTCAAACTTGGTTTCAAGTCAAAAGAAAAGTTGTCGATAACAACTTTCTATGGAGAAAATTTGTCGATAACGACTTTTCTATGGGGAAAAGTTGTCGTAACAAATTGTCTATTCCGAAAAGTAGACGATAACAACTTGTTTATGTGGAAAAGTGGTCGATAACAACTTTTCTACAGAGAGCAACTTTTCTCCATAGAAAAGTTTGTTATTGGCAACTTTTCTCCATAGAAAATTTTGTTATCGGCAACTTTTCTCCATAGAAAAGTTTGTTATCGGCAACTTTTCTCCATAGAAAAGTTTGTTATCGGCAACTTTTCTCCATAGAAAAGTTTGTTATCGGCAACTTTTCTCCATAGAAAAGTTTGTTATCGGCAACTTTTCTCCATAGAAAAGTTTGTTATCGGCAACTTTTCTCCATAGAAAAGTTTGTTATCGGCAACTTTTCTCCATAGAAAAGTTTGTTATCGGCAACTTTTCTCCATAGAAAAGTTTGTTATCGGCAACTTTTCTCCATAGAAAAGTGGTTATCGGCAACTTTTCTCCATAGAAAAGTTGTTATCGGCTACTTTTCTCCATAGAAAAGTTGTTATCGGCAACTTTTCTCCATAGAAAAGTTGTTATCAACAACTTTTCTCCATAGAATAGGTGATATCAACAAATTTTCTCCATAGAATAGTTGATATCGACAACTTTTCTCTATAGAATAGTTGATATCGACAACTTTTCTCTATAGAATAGTTGATATCGACAACTTTTTGATATAGAAAAGTTGTTATCGACAACTTTTTGATATAGAAAAGTTCTTCTCGACAACTTTTCTCCCTAGAAAGATTGTTATCGACATTTTTTCTCCATAAAAAAGATGTTATCGACAACTTTTCTCCGTAGGAAAGTCCAGAAAAATTTTCATGGGATTTTTTTACGAAGCGTTTATTAGAGAAAAGATAAAATCATTTGTGACGCACCTGTCTCTAAGGGTTATAATTAGAAAAAATTTTCACCGAAACCGATTGCATCTAAAGATAATTCTTAGAGCAGCCCCCACATTCGCTGCGATAATTTTCCGGCTTAGACATAAAATCTCAATGAGGAAATATTTCTCACAGAAATTTGAGTTCTAAACCGGAAAAATATTGCAGCATACAAATTATCGATAAAATCCAAAGCAACGTTATCGCCTTCTCTTCAAGTTGGTAAGGCTTCTTTGGGACTTGGAGCGTGACAAACTTTCGCTACTCTTCATGGAGGATAGCAGTAGTTGTTGTTGTTTAAGCGGCACAACTTGTTGTAAATATTCTTCGTAAATTGTTTTGGGATCGCGTAAATCAACGCCAGGGAAATATGGTCTTCGGGGTGGAGGATAGATAGGTTTTGAGGTAGCAACGAAACTCTCCATACCGTCCTTGCCCATTTTGCTAGCAAAATGACGAAAACCCTCCGAAGGTCTCAGGCGAGGAGGTTGATCTCCGTCAGCCCTCACAAAATCGTGTGGGTCGGAATTAAAGTTACCCACGAAACTTTGTGATGAGGACTCCTGCTGTGGCGCAATGTTCAGGCTGTTGAGTTGGAAATTACTGGGCAACTTCAAAACACCCTGGGCATAGGTCCACGGCTTCTCCTTGTCGTAGGGTTCATGGAATACACCTCGAGCTTTGAGGGGTATTAGCAGATAATCCTCCTCTTCATAACTTTCTTGGGAGGTTCGGTGTTGCTTTCTGCTGAGGTGAGATTTGTGTTTCTTTTTTAGAGCCACCGGTTCAGGCGTCTTGGATGACGTTTTTTGAACCTTGAAACGAATTTGCTGAGTATTGTCTTCTTCCTCAATTTTCTGTTTGTTAGCCATCTCCAAATGACTTTTGTCCAAACCCGGCTTGGTGTCCTCTCCTTGTCCCAAGCTGTTGTAAAACTTTTCCAGCTCATCGAACCATTTAAGTTTCTTGAGTTTCCTGTAGTAATCTCGGGTCTGATGGGGTTTGCCCATCAGCAACTGAGCTGCCTTCTTTTCCTCCATTAAATCTTGCCAATTTCTGGCATTTTGCATTTCCTGCAGACCCAATAAGGGCACTCCCTTTCCAGGTCGTCTACCAACCGAAGTTTGTTGGGAAATATTCCTCACGAATGGGTCATCACTGATGACCTTGTATTCACAGCGTTTGGCACTGAAATCTTGCGATAGCACAAAAGTTTTGAGGAAATCCGGGGTGCAGGTGGTCCCCGTGACCATATCATTGAGTCTTCCCCGATTCTTTTGGCATCTCGGCATCAGGTGTCGATTAAAGCGATTCCTCTTCGTCTGGCCATAATTGCAACGGCCATGCCACAAATAGTCTCCATTATCATCGGCTGGGCACTGTTGGGAAATCTTATGGATGGGACTTTGGATATTGGAGCAGGGTATATTCTGCCACTGCCGATCCCAATAACCACCACTGAGCGGTGTAGACATTAGAGGGCCAAAATGAAGGATATCCAAAAAATTTGAGAATAAATTTGGAATTTTGTGAATAAAATATTGAAAGGGTTTGTCAAATAGATGCCACCTAAAGTGAATAAAGCTATCGATAATATTTCTGTGTAAACACTTAATCGATAATTTGGTTACCACCAAACAATGGAAAGATGAAAAAAAGAAGAAAGTTACGCATTTTTTTTCTAGAAAAGTTATTATCGGCAACTATTCTTCATATAAAAGTTGTTATCGATAACTTTCGCCATAAAAAAGTTTTTATCGACATAGGAAAGTTGTTATCGACAACTTTTCTCCATAGAAAAGTTGTTATCGACAACTTTTTTCCATAGAAAAATTGTTATCGACAACTTGTCTCCATAGAAAAGTTGTTATCGATAACTTTTTGCCATGGAAAAGTTGTTATTGAGAATTTTTCTCTGTGGAAAAGTTGTCGATAACAACCACTTTTCTATGGAGAAAAGTTGTCGATAACAACTTTTCTACGGAGAAAAGTTATCGATAACAACTTTTCTACGGAGAAAAGTTATCGATAACAACTTTTCTATGGAGAAAAGTTGTCGATAACAACTTTTATATGGCGAAAAGTTTTCGATAACAACTTTTATATGGCGAAAAATTTTCGATAACAACTTTTATATGGAGGAAAGTTGCCGATAACAACTTTTCTATGGAGAAAAGTTGCCGATAACAACTTTTCTATGGACAAAGGTTGTCGATAACAATTATTCTGCTTATAAAAGTTGCCGATAATGACTACTCCCAACAGACAAGTTATCGAAATGAATAATTTTTTTCGAGAAATATTTTCAATTTTTCAAAATTAAACTCTGAATCAATTTGCCTATGGAATAAATGTCTGGAAATAATTGAACATTTTCATAAAAGTATTCAAAATTCCCCTCAGTTTTCAAAATTATTTTCGGCTTTTTTCGAAGGATTTCATTCAATTTAAAGGGAACTGGCGGCAAAATGGGAAAAGGTAGTGCTCCAATATTCAATCGAAGCTTCGCATGAACAATTCCTTTGCATCCGCAGACATCTAAAAGAGGAATTTTATTTTTGAGTGAAAACTAAATTGGATATCATGGCCAAGAAGGGATCAAAAACAGCGGTTAGCTCTCCTGCAAAATTCGAATTACCACAAACACCAGTTGTCGAGGAGCCGATTGTTAAAAGACGTTTATCGGAAACGCGATTTCTTCCTCCCAAGGCCCAACACTCGTATTTCTTTCATCGCAATACTCTCAGAGAGAGGAAATGCAATAGCATTGTGGCCATACGGAATGGAGAGCTGATACTGCAATGAGAGGGAGAAAGGAATTGACGATAGTCTTCTGCTCGATGTGGTCAACAAAACAGAAAAATGGTCTTCATCTCGAAATTTTTGTTGTTTTTATTTTCAGGTGACAAAAAAGCCAAAAAGGATAAAGGGAAAAAGGATCAAAAAGCCAAGAGTATGTCTAAAAATCAATACCATCGTGGTCCTTTTTTAAATTTTTTCTCTTTTGCCAGCCAATAAACCACCACAAGTGGAAGAGATTGTACCAGAGATACCACCAGAACCCCAACCGGATCAAAGAGAGGAACAATGTGTGCGATACAACTATTCCAGTTCCTATCCTTTGTGTCAACCACGACGTTGTCCCCGAAGCCTGAATTCCCGAGGTTATGTGGATCCGGAAACTAGTTTTACTTGTCTGTGTCCCGTGCGCCGCCTGCCATCAGAGGAACGTCCTACAAGGCTATATGCCTGTGATGGCACAGTGCTGATTTTCCCCAAAAAACGATAGCACAAAAAAGATTAAAAACTGAAAATGAAACAAAATTGTTTTGAACTGAAAAACGAAAATAAATATTTGAAAAAAGTTTTTCTAACAATTCAGATAACTTTTCTCAACAGAAGTTATCGGCAACTTTTCTCCATAGAAAAGGTGTTATCGACAACTTTCCCCCATAGAAAAGTTGTTATCGACAACTTTTCTTCCTATAAAAGTTGTTATCGAAAGCTTTTCTTCCTATAAACGTTGTTATCGACAACTTTTCGCCATAGAAAAGTTGTTATCGACAACTTTTCGCCATAGAAAAGTTGTTATCGACAACTTTTTACCATAGAAAAGTTGTTATCGACAACTTTTCTCCATAGAAAAGTTGGTTATCGACAACTTTTCGCCATAGAAAAGTTGTTATCGACAACTTTTCGCCATAGAAAAGTTGTTATCGACAACTTTTCGCCATAGAAAAGTTGTTATCGACAACTTTTCGCCATAGAAAAGTTGTTATCGACAACTGTTCGCCATAGAAAAGTTGTTATCGACAACTGTTCGCCATAGAAAAGTTGTTATCGACAACTGTTCGCCATAGAAAAGTTGTTATCGACAGCTTTTCTCCATAGAAAAGTTGTTATCGACAACTTTGCTCCATAGAAAAATTTGTTATCGATAACTTTTCTCCATAGAAAAGTTGTTATCGACAACGTTTCTCCATAGAAATGTTGTTATCGACAACTTTTCTCCATAGAAAAGTTGTTATCGACAACTTTTCTCCAAAGAAATGTTCTTATCGACAACTTTTCTTTATTGAAAAGTGTAGATAAAATGTTATCGACAACTTTTAGTTATAGGAAAGTTGTAATCGACCAATTTTCGTTTCGTTGAATGTTGATTTATTTATCTCTTAGAAATGATTGTTTTTAAACAAAACTTTTTCATTGGGCAAAAGTTCACAAGGCATGGCGTCGGATTTCATTCTTGCACTTCCAAGATGATAACACATATGTATTGTATTAGGTTTTTCTATGCAGACTCCAGATTTCAAAGATTTATTTAGAATTCTTTGAGGACTTTTCAATTTTCCCTCCCGACAGGACAAATTTTCCCCTAAATTTCCGGCCTTTTCAAATATTTGTATAAGCCTCTTGGACTTGAATTTTCCTCTAAAATCATTTTCGATGGTTTTCTTTACAATGCCATTGGATTTTGGGTTCGTTGTTTCGGATAGCTCTATTTTTCGTGGTTTTCTGAGTTTCTTTAAACTATGTTCCTTTGTCTTACTTTCATTAAGACCAGATGCCAAAGCTTTCCTTACAGTTTTTTCCGAGTCTTTCTCATTTTTATAGCCTCTTTCCTTCCTGTCTTTACCTTCCTCTTCCGTTTCCCTTTTCAGACTTTCGCAGGAAATTTGATATTGTGCTGGAACATTTTCATCGCAAGATGGCTCACGATACTGCATATCTTCCAAATGGAGCTGCGGACTGAAAAATTCCACCATAGTACCACATTTCTGCAGAGACAACAAGTTACGTTGCTTTCCCCTGGGAGGCATAGTTCCCAATTCCATATTCGAAGTAAGATTGTTCAGAGGATACCTGGGCCCTAAGGATATTACCTTATATTTATTTTCCGCGAACGGTTTGTAGTAGTTTTTGGAGTTATTCTTGCACTTCTTTTTAGGACTTGCGCCGAAATTGTCCACATATTTCTCCGGAACATTCAAAATCTCCCCATCACTAGAGGGATGCCACACCGTCTCCCTTGGCGGCTTCATTAACCAAAACATATCATCTCTCCGAGATCTAGGTCCAGTTAAAAACATTTTAGATTTCCTGTAACTTTCTCGAAATCTCTCAACAAAATTTGGTCCTTTATTCAGAAAACTTTCTCCAGACGATTCACTAAAATTTCCCGGCATTGTAACAACATGGGAGAAAATACTTTCATCTTTTCTTCGAATAACTTCCTGGCCATCACCACCTTCTACATCCCGTTTAGGCCCCTTGCTCCCAGAAAAACATTGACATCTGACCCTATTTTGTCGGGCACACATGGGACATGAGCTGACACCCAATTTTTTCAAATGTGTAGCAGTTTCCAGTCGTATCGGTTGCTCTTGACGATAAACGGTCTTAACATTGATGGCTATTTTATTGTGTGGACATAGATCCGGTTGTTCGAGGAGGAAATCTTGATTTACAGAAAATTTTGATAACATGACGATGAATTTGCCAAAAAAAAATTTAAAAAAGAACAAAAAAAACGAAAGCTGCCATAAAATTTCTCCAATGCCAAGCATTCGATGATTGTGGGAATTTATGGTAAAATTAACGATAAAAAATGTTGTTATCAACTATGTAGGAAGAAAAATTGTCGACAACAACTTTCACAGGGAGAAAAGTTGTCGATAACAAAATTTTTATGGAGAAATGCTGTCGATAACTACTTTTATATTAAGAAAAGTTGTCGATAACAAATTTTACAGGGATAAAAGTTGTCGATAACAACTTTCATAGGAAGAAAATTTGTCGATTAGAACCTTTCTATGGAGATAAGTTATCGATAACAACTTTCATGGGGAGAAAAGTGGTCGATAACACCTTTTCTATGGCGAAAAGTTTTCGATAATAAATTTTCTATTAAGAAAAGTTTTCGATAACAACTTTTCTACTAAGAAATAATTGTCGATAACAACTTTTCTACTAAGAAAAAGTTGTCGATAACAACTTTTCTACTAAGAAAAAGTTGTCGATAACAACTTTTCTACTAAGAAAAGTTATTGATAACAACTTTTCTATTAAGAAAACTTGTCGATAACAACTTTTCTATTAAGAAAACTTGTCGATAACAACTTTTCTATTAAGAAAAGTTTTCGATAAAAAAATTTCTATTAAGAAAAGTTGTCAATAGCAACTTCTCTTTAAAGAAAAGTTGTCGATAACAAACTTTCCTATAAAAAATTGTCCATAATAACAATTTTACCATTGGCCGGCGAAGAAATGTTATCGATGATAATATTTCTTAATATACAAAATTTCCTTTTTCCCTCTCCCTCATTTTAATAATGGAATTATTCGATTACAATCGATATATTTGACATACATACTTGTGCTTATTGAAATACAGTGTTGATGTGTTTGTGGCATAAAAAAACTCGCCTTATCATCTTCATTACTGTAAGTAATCGAACAGACAGGAAAAACGTACTTATTACTTACGACCACAGTAAAGAGCAAAATTTCAGAGACAAATTACAATTGTGGGAGGGGGGTCTGCACCCTCACAAAGCACACGTTCATACTAATTTCCTAATCAACCTTTTTATCGAATACGACCAGCGTGGGGTATGTTGTTGCTGTTGTTTATTTGCCATCTTATCGCAGAGGATAAAACAATCAAAAATAAATTAATAATGTTGCCATCACAACAGAGCTAAGTGCTCGCATTCTCAACGAAGCTACCGCAGGATGTAAAATTAATTAGAATAATCAGAAAAATTATGAGGTATGGAATTGGTCCGTAAATCTTTTGGAAGTAATTGAAAAATGTTACTATGGAGAAAAGTTGTTATGGACAACTTTTCTTTGCCAAAAAGTTGTTATCGACATCTTTTCTATGCCAAATAGTTGTTATCGACAACTTTTCTATGCAAAAAAGTTATTATCGACAACTTTTCTTTGCGGAAAAGTTGTTATCGACAGCATTTCTATGGAAAAAATTGTTATCGACAGCATTTCAATTGTTATCGATACCATTTCTATGCAGAACAAATTGTTATCGATACCATTTCTATGCGGAAAAGTTGTTATCTACAACGTTTCTATGGCGAAAACTTGTTATCGACAACGTTTCTATGGCGAAAACTTGTTATCGACAACTTTTCTACGCCGAAAACTTGTTATCGACACATTTTCTATGCGGAAAAGCTGTTATCGACACATTTTCTATGCGGAAAAGCTGTTATCGACAACTTTTCTATGCGGAAAAGCTGTTATCGACAACTTTTCTATGCGGAAAAGCTGTTATCGACAACTTTTTTATGCGGAAAAGCTGTTATCGATAACTTTTCTATGCGGAAAAGTTGTTATCGACAAGTTTTCTATGCCGAAAACTTGTTATCGACAACTTTGCTATGCAGAAAAGTTGTTATCGACAACTTTGCTATGCAGAAAAGTTGTTATCGAAAACTTTTCTATGCCGAAAAATTGTTATCGAAAACTTTTCTATGCCGAAAACTTGTTACCGCCAACTTTTCTGTGCGGAAAAGTTGTTATCGAAAAGATTTTAATGCCGAAAAGTTGTTATCGACAAGTTTTGAATGCGGAAAAGTTGTTATCGACAAGTTTTCTATGCGGAAAAGTTGTTATCGACAACTTTCCTATGCGGAAAAGTTGTTATCGGCAACATTTCAATGCCGATAAATTGTTATCGACTACTTTTCTATGCCGAAAACTTGTTATCGACAACTTTTGTTCACAAAAAGATAATATCACGACACTTAATAATTGTTATCGACAACTTTTTGATGAAAAAAAAAACATTTGAAATTGTCCATCAATTGTAAATTTTCCCCATTTGAGTATTAAACAAATTCAATGAACTGTCATTTAACATTTGTGTCAATTTGTTAACAAATCTATTTGGACAGCACTCGGCACTCCATGTAGTGCTCGTTGTCAATTATCTATTTTTGTAATCAGCCAATTAATTTGAATTTTTTTGTTCGTTTAAACTTTGTGCAATTGTTTTGTAAATATGTATTTGTTTATTTTGTCCAATTGGGACAAAGTTTAATGCGAATTAGGAATTTGAAATTTGTAAATGGATTTTTTTCCGTTTTCTAAAAAGTCAGTCAGTGGCAAGTATAGAATTTCACAACAAATGATTTGGGGTTAAGGTCAAATCACATTTGAAAAACAACAAAAAAAAAAAACAGCCAATTTGTTTGTGTTTGGAAATTCTGCTAAAATATTGAAATTGGTATTGGTGTGCAAACACTTGCCTTTGATTACCATCCGGCCATCGATGTGTGGTCCGTGTCAAAATCTCATAAAAAATTTACTTCGTCATGCCATCGGGTCATTCTGTGGAGTTAGGAATTTTTGGTGAAAGCATGCCAGCTGCCAATCCCCTCCGCAGAAAATTGAAATGTAAACAAAATATGGACTATTTAATTACTTAGCTTGCTTTTCGATGTGTTGGGAGTGGTTCGGTTCAAGGACTGGAGAAGTGTATGGAATTCAATTTATCAAAAGGATTGGAATAGATGTGAGAACAGTGGAGTGTTGTTATCGGTTATAATTACTAAATGAAAAAAAATTCTATTCTTACAAAGAAAAATAATTATCGATAGCATTACATTGAAAAATTATTGTTATCGGCCACTTTTTTAAGTAATGAAGTACACGGAAAACTAGTTATCGATAACTTTTTTAAATGGAAAAGTAGTTATCGATAACATTTCTGTATGGAAAACTTTCTATCGACAACTTTTCTATACAAAAATTTGGTTATCGATAAATTTTCTAATAAGAAAATGTGTTATCGCAAATGTTACAAGAAGGAAACTTGTTATCGAACACTTTTTTGCAAGACGCATTGTTATTGACACCTTTTCTTCACAGGAATTTAGTTATCGATAGGTTTATAGAAAAGTTTTTATCGAGATTTTTTCTCTTTAGAAAAGTGGTTATCGGTCAATTTTCCCAACTTGTTATCGATAATTTTTCTTCATATACACCTTATTGTCTATTACTTTTCTTTAAAGAAAATACATTATCGACAACTTTTCAATACAGAAATCTTATTATCGATAACTTTTTTGCATAAAATACTTGTTATCGAAAACTTGGCCACATGGAAAAATTTGTTATCGATTATTTTTTTAATTAGAAATCTTATAATTGACAACTTTTATTAATTTATTGATATCGACAACTTCCGCTAAGGATGTTATCGATAACTTTTTTAGATGGAATTCTTGTTATTGAGAACTTTTCGATATAAAAGAGTTGTTATCGATAAGTTTTTTATTATTGAAAACTTATCATCGAGAATTTTTATTAATGAAAGTTGTGCTATCGATAACATTTCAATATAATCAACATGCTCTATTTGTAAAACTTTTTATCGTAAAGTTTACTCTAACGGAAATTTCTTATCGATAAATATTATGTATTTTACTTGATGAAAAACTTATTTTGGACAATTTATCGACACAGAACACTTGTTATCGAAAAACTTTGTTTATGAAAAAATAGTTATCGATAAGTTTTCTTTGTGAAAAACAATTTAACGATTATTAAACAGTTTATCGAATTTTACTTGATGAAAAACTTATAATGGACAATTTATTGACACAGAAAACCTGTTGTCGAAAAACTGTGTTTAAAGGATTTTTTTTCATTTATCGATAACCATTCCGTTTGCTAAAACCTGTTATCGATATTTTGATGAAAATCACATTATCGACAGTGTGTCTTTGTTTTAAACTTGTTATCGAAAACTTCTCTTTGTAAAATACATGTTATCGATAATTTTTAGGAATAAGGAAGTTGTTATCGATGATTTTTCTTTACTGGAAATTTGTTATCGATAACATTTCTTTATAAAAAATGGTAATTGATCATGAAAATCCAGTTATCGAAAATATTTTTTTGTATGAAAAACTATTTATCGATATGTCTTCTTAAAGGAATTTTTTCATCTATCGATAACCATTCCGTTTGCTAAACCCTGTTATCGATATTTTCGTGAAAATCACATTATCGACAATGTGTCTTTGATCTAAACTTGTTATTGAAAACCTATCTTTTTAAAATATGTGTTATCGATAATTTTTAAGAATAAAAAACTTGCTATCGATAACTTTTCTTTACTGGAAATTTTTTTTCGATAACATTTCTTTATAAAAAATGGTTTTTGATCATGAAAATCCAGTTATCGAAAATGTTTTTCAAAATGGAAACTTGTTATCAATGAATCAACTCTACGATTATCCGTTATCGATCATTTTTCTTTACGGAAAACTGGTTTACGGTAAGTTTCTTTTCAAGAAAATTGCTGTCAAGTTTATGAATCGTCTGACATACACCATTCTTGTTTGCTTTTCTTCCCAATCAGGTGACAAAAAATAATCACCAGACCTCTTGTAGGTCTACCACCATAACTAAGCCTTTTATTATTACAAGCAGATTACATTGGCCACCCATGAAAGGCATAAACAAAACAAAATGAGGTAATATTCTTAAAGACTATTCTTTTTTCTGTAAGAAGGCAAGCAGTACTCACTTATTGGTCATGTCCAGAACATCTGACATCATTAGCCGATATTTCTTGCGAAACTTTATTCCATGTCGTGTCTCTAGCAGATACTTGTTACAGAAGTCCGTCAGCGAAATGAAGTAGATGAAGCCCAGCGAAGTCAGAAATAGGCCACGCTGCAGTGAAATGCGATCCGTGGTGTTGGGTATCTGCAGGAAGCTGCCACAGGCCAGGCTAATGGAGCCAATGGAACAGGCCAAGGAGACATAGCAACGATTGCCGCGCAGTTGTTGTTTGAGGCCAGCAGCAACCATTGCTTCTGAGTGCGGGGGGTTACTTAAATAGTTTGCACAAGGAAGGACAGACGGCGGGAGTAGCAGAAATGCCTTGCGAAGACTTGCAAACGGAAGTTTTTTTTTTAAATTTTTCTTAATTATTTTTTTTTGAGTGGGAAGAAATTGTATTTTCTTTTTTTTTTCTATTTCATGGAAGTTGAGTTATAACATTTTATCTAAAAAAAATCACAAATCATTAAATAAATATTTTGATTTAATTTTTATTTATTTATCTCATTCAAATTATTAGCAATTAATTTTCCAATTAACACTCGCAGTCAACACTTTCACTCGATGATTCGGTAATTTGCCGGTCAACGTTTTTATTTTTTGGTTCGACGAATTTCCATCGACCGTGTTCTAGTCTCAACTGCAGCAACTTTAGTTAATGACAGCTGAAAACAGCTGTGTAATATAGCCACAGCAACCACAACAACAACAGCATGTGGAAAAGTCGTTACAGCAACGTACCCTAGCACCCACCTAATAATCATAATAATGAACCAATACCAACACAGATCGAAGATAACAATTGTCGGAAAACAAACAAAACTTCGATGTCGCCAAAATACAATGGAAGTGGGCGGCGGCGATGACGATGGCAGGAGGGGGTGAGGGTTTGTCGTTTTGCCAGTGATAAACAACAAACAAATGTAAACAAATAATTTAGGGATAGCGATGAGAGGGCGAGAGCAAAAGGGAGAGAGAGGGAGAATAAATTGAGAGATAGAGATATTGTATGGAACTATTTATTGATAAAAGTTATCGATAAAAATTATTTCCACACAATTCTAAGTTGTTATCGACAACTTTTCTCCTCGGAAATGTTGTTATAGAGAACTTTCCTATACAGAAAACTTGTTATCGACAACTTTTCTCCTCGGAAATGTTGTTATAGAGAACTTTCCTATACAGAAAACTTGTTATCGACAACTTTTCTCTGCGGAAAAGTTGTTATCGACAACTTTTCTATGGAGAAAAGTTGTTATCGACAACTTTTCTATGGAGAAAACTTGTTATCGACAACTTTTCTATGGAGAAAACTTGTTATCGACAACTTTTCTATGGAGAAAACTTGTTATCGACAACTTTTCTATGGAGAAAACTTGTTATCGACAACTTTTCTATGGAGAAAACTTGTTATCGACAACTTTTCTATGGAGAAAACTTGTTATCAACAACTTTTCTATGGAGAAAACTTGTTATCGATAACTTTTCTATGGAGAAAACTTGTTATCGACAACTTTTCTCTGCGGAAAAGTTGTTATCGACAACTTTTCTATGGAGAAAACTTGTTATCGACAACTTTTCTATGGAGAAAACTTGTTATCGACAACTTTTCTATGGAGAAAATTTGTTATCGACAACTTTTCTATAGAGAAAACTTGTTATCGACAACTTTTCTATGGAGAAAACTTGTTATCGACAACTTTTCTATGGAGAAAACTTGTTATCGACAACTTTTCTATGGAGAAAACTTGTTATCGACAACTTTTCTATGGAGAAAACTTGTTATCGACAACTTTTCTATGGAGAAAACTTGTTATCGACAACTTTTCTATGGAGAAAACTTGTTATCGACAACTTTTCTGTGGAGAAAACTTGTTATCGACAACTTTTCTGTGGAGAAAACTTGTTATCGACAACTTTTCTGTGGAGGAAAGTTGTTAGACAACTTTTTTATACAGAAAACTTGTTATCGACAACTTTTCTATGGAGAAAACTTGTTATCGACAACTTTTCTATGGGGAAAACTTGTTATCGACAACTTTTCCATGGGGAAAACTTGTTATCGACAACTTTTCTATGGGGAAAACTTGTTATCGACAACATTTCTATGGAGAAAACTTGTTATCGACAACTTTTCTATGGAGGAAACTTGTTACCGACAACATTTCTATGGAGAAAACTTGTTATCGACAACATTTCTATGGAGAAAACTTGTTATCGACAACATTTCTATGGAGAAAACTTGTTATCGACAACATTTCTATGGAGAAAACTTGTTATCGACAACATTTCTATGGAGAAAACTTGTTATCGACAACTTTTCTATAGAGAAAACTTGTTATCGACAACTTTTCTATGGAGAAAACTTGTTATCGACAACTTTTCTATGGAGAAAACTTGTTATCGACAACTTTTCTATGGAGAAAACTTGTTATCGACAACTTTTCTATGGAGAAAACTTGTTATCGACAACTTTTCTATGGAGAAAACTTGTTATCGACAACTTTTCTATGGAGAAAACTTGTTATCGACAACTTTTCTACGGAGAAAACTTGTTATCGACAACTTTTCTATGGAGAAAACTTGTTATCGACAACTTTTCTATGGAGAAAACTTGTTATCGACAACTTTTCTATGGAGAAAACTTGTTATCGACAACTTTTCTATGGAGAAAACTTGTTATCGACAACTTTTCTTTAAAGAAAAGTTGTTATCGACAACTTTTTTATGCGGAAAAGTTGTTACCGACAACTTTTCTCTGCGGACTTTCTGTGGAAAAAAGTTGTAATCGAAAACTTTTCTATGGAGAAAATTTGTTATCGACAACTTTTCTATACGGGATATATGTTATCGACAACTTTTCTATGCGGAAAGTTTGTTATCGAAAAGTTTTTTTTGTGGAAAAGTTGTTATCGACAATTTTTCTATGCCGAGAACTTTTCTCGGCCAAAAAGTGTTGTTAATGTTGCGGTTTTATTAAATTTAAAAAAATGTTGTCTTTGTGGCGTTTTTTATCCAGCGAAAAATTTAAAATTACTTACAGCCTGTTCCACGATATCGAAAGAACACGTTCGCACAACTTTTACACGACAAACAGCTGATTTCCGTTCCACTAAAATCCATCAGAACGAAAATTTGCACGAAAATCAATGCGAACGAAAACGTAAGCGTTTCAGTGTAATTTTGCGTTCCACTATCTTTTTTCTTTCGTACGCATGCGAACACAAATGTCAAAATCAGTCACTTGTGTGTTTGCTGTCGTACGATAACAATTAAGGAAAATCTGTTTTAAAACATAAACATTGCTTAATTGAAAATGGAAACAAAAATGTAAGTAAAAATAATAAATCCAATTTATTATGGGAACAATAAATATATTTTTTTATTTTCTCAATTCCAGCACGAAAAAATCATCAACTACACAGCTGCGGGCACTAGTTGAGTATATGGAGGAGAATCCCGAGTTTGCCAGAGGAGTGCCAATTTTTGGAAGCAGCAGGCAATCCCTGGAGGACCACTGGAAGAAGTTAGTTTTTAAATTAAATACCATGGGTCCTCCTTCCCGCACAATTGCAGAGTGGAAAAAGGTAAGTCAGAAAACTCGGCTTACGATCTATTTGTCTGACCGGCATTACTATTTACAGACGTGGGCCGATCTAAAGTCCCGCACCAAAAAGAAAATTGCGGAAAATAAAAAAGGGCTGCAAGGTACCGGTGGTGGTTTATACCGGTTTGAGTGCCTAACGGAGCTGGAAACAGCAATTGACCGGACACTCTTCTTGTCGAAGTCCGCAGCACCAAGTGGTAAAACTTTTGGCTACGCGGACGAAATAGATTACTGCTTCGAGGCATTGGATACCACACCATCAAGACCATCCAAGACCGTAGCAGTGGTAACACCTACCAGACAGTTCAGTTCCCCAGAATCACATACCCAACAACAACAAATAAACGTAAAAACCTGTACCATCACATCTCAACAATACCAACCACCAGCCAAAAGACAAAAAATCTCACCCCATTTCTACACACAAACTGCAAAACAACAGGCACAGTCAGCACACACACAACAAACTCAGACACAGTCAGCACACACACAACAAACACAGACCCAACAGCAACACCAACGTAAACAAACAACGTCCCCTCGTCAACACATGGAACATCAAACCGTGCAGAAATCACCCCCATTCAAATGCACATCACAACATAATTTTCCATCCACATCATCAGCAAAAAAACGTTCCAACGTCGGAGAGCAAATACCTCTTATCCGTCGGCAATTGCGGCTGGTCGAGCAGGCAAATGCAATAGCCAAGGAGCAAGCAGATGCAAGCAAAAGGATGGCTGACGCTGCAGAGAGAATGGCAGATTGTGCCGAGGCCCAAACAAAAATGCTTAAGTCTATAGAAGCAATTCTATCAACTTTTTTGCAAAACAATTCACAAAACAATTCACTATAATCCTTTTATAATAATTTAAACTAATTTTTTAATTTTTAATTTATATTATTTTATTTTAATAAAAAATTCTTTTAATTTTACAAATTTATTGCAATTTTTCTCCTTATTGCGTCAGCTCTGCTTTCAAGATCATTATTGTCATCCACTTCGTCTTCCAGATCATCATCAATAACATCACCTGGCGGCTCTTCAGATCGGTAGTGTATGCACATGTTGTGCAGCGCACAACATGTATTTATAATTTGCACTACCTTTGCAGCGTCATAATGAAGGCCCCGAGATCCGATGATACATCGGAATCTGTTTTTTAGGACCCCAAAGCACCTTTCAATGACGTTACGCGCACTAGCATGTCTCTTATTGAATTTTTTCTCGGCGACATCTCTAGGGCTGCGGTAAGGCGTCATAAGAAAGGGCTTCAATTTGTATCCTCCATCCCCTATAAAAAAGAAAACACAAATGTAATTGATGTATTATGATATAAGATGTATACAAATTACTCACCGAGAATCCAAAAGTTTCGTTTTCCATTGTCAAACTCCCTTTGCATACACTTGTCTGGATCACTCCTTTCCCATACAAATGCATCATGGTTGCTTCCGGGATGTCTAGCGTCGACAAATGTTATACGCATTTTATGGTCACATATCTAATTCGAAAAAACACAATAATTTTAAAATCGCTTTACGATAAATGTATTTACTTACCACCATTGCATTTATACTATAATAACCCTTTCTATTATAGTAAAGGGCTTTCAATTCGTCCCCTGGTGACTTGATGCGGATATGCGTGCCATCAACGCATCCAACAATTCCAGGGAACATTGTTCTTTCATAGAAAGCCTCCATTGTGTTGCGTTCCTCTGTAAGTGTCGGCTTTTTTATCCATTGGCCGCAAATGTGGTCCTCAAAAATCTGCAGACATTCCGCAATGGTTCTGCTCACTGTCGACTTCGCTGTTGAAGTCAAGGCTTCGTTCCC